ACCCGCCAATGTTCGAAAATTTTGACAGACTTCTAGCTTTTCTAGCCCGCTGTTCTGTGATTCATCTAGGCTTATGATTGTTAGGCGTAAGTATTCTTTCCCGTTCAAAAATCTTTCATTTTCATGATTAGCACTGGTGTACCGTTGTTAGTAGCTGTAGTAGTCTTTTTAGTAGGTTTCTTATCACGTAGTTTCCTCTTAGCACAAGGGGTAATGCTCCAGTTTTCACCCATCATCAAAACTCAACGGCAGGCCCTAGTTCATCAGAATTATGAAATGAACAATAATGCATTGATTTCCTTTGCGATTACACACCGAGACACCCTAACTTTCCAGTGTACACAAAACACCGTACATTCGCTTCTATCCGGAACTTTCCTACCTACCAAACATGTCAAAACAACTTTCGCTTGACTAAGCTCTCTATGGATTTTGTAGCAGATTTTGCTCAGCCTTCTTGTGGAAACATACGCATAAAACTTCATGGTTTGACGATGATCTCAAAAGTACCGAGAAGATTGATTTATCCATCCTCTTACAATATCCCGTTCTTGTCAACTACCTATTTAGAATAGTACGGAGGTTAAAACGACCTAGTCTTGAGGCTATTCTTCTAATCTGTAGTTTGCGAACCTAAATATGCAAAATACGCATTATCTAGGTGTTTCCTGTTTTGTATTTGACTTTTTCTTTTTCTTACACACTTCTTTGCGTTAATTGTTCATAAGCGGCAGGGTCGTCACGTTGTCAAAGTCACAACTCGCATAACGAGTCCGGCTCCCCCATGTCTTCATAGATCTTCATTGGGTGGTATCTATTAGCGACAACGGTTGCAAGTTGACCCACAGATTCAATGATCCCTTCAACTTTTTCATGCAAAATGAAGACCAATGATCCACGCAAAAAAGACCCAGCCTCGATCTCTCCGCTGGTTCCCTGTCATATCCGTTGTTCTCTCAAGCTCTCCCACAATAGGCTTAGCTGAGATCGATACAACTCACCACTTCTGCGGAGCCCTGCTGTTATTTTAACCAATTCCCGTTGGTCCATTTAGAATTTTGAATGCTTCATCTGAGTATCGGATGATTGCGCCGGCACCAGATCCCTACACCCCAGTCACACATTCATCTTATCCAACGTTCTGCACAGTTCTCGATAGAGTGCTATCCAGAATTTCGCTGCAGCTTCATTTCCATTTGTCAATCCTCTTGAGAGCCACAGTGGGCTTCTTACACAAAATCATTTCATTGAATCGCTTCACTTTTTGTTGTTCTCAATCTTTTGTCCAAATTTGTGGCTGACTTTAAATGTCCTCGTGCATTAAAAACATTCCCCTCCAAACTTCCTTCTTTATCCACTCTAGCTTGTGCAACTGTCCTTAAAATCTCGTCCCAAGTCCGGGTCCTCCCAAGCAAAATCCTAGACGCAACCGTGCAAGCCTTGTATCAAGTCGAGGTGGGTATTTTTGACACTACTCCGCTCCGCTTGCATGCTAGACTCTTGTCATCGGTACAATTTACTTCAGCGGCATTCTGCTGCAACGACAGGGACTTCCTGTGAATTGTGAGAGCCAGGGGTAATAGGGCGCTTGTCGGGTCCAGTCTCCTTGTTGTGGTGATCATAACCAAGGAACTTATATATCAAAGGCCTTCAATCTTGGAGTATATTACCCGACGTCTGTCGATCGAACGTGGAAAGAAAGACAACGACCCCCCTTCAACTTCATTCCTGTTACTTCTTAATACGGACTTAGCACGTCATTAAAACAAGAAGCAATTTATATTTCATTTGGACGACGCAGGACACTCGCCACATCCGTTCATTGAGCCCAATCTATCCTTGAACCAGGTCGCTTCATCTTCTTTTCTACACGGCAGCGCTGTTGAAGACCAACTCGTCAAGTAGTAAAATCTCTGGAAGGTATACGCGTTCGGCTTGTCCAGAACATTTAAAACCTTTCATTTATGTTCCCGGGACTGGTCCATACATCAATCAACCTTATTTAGCAGATCTTGATTAAGACCCTTAAGATTAATCTATCCACCGATCAATAGCTACATGAACAAGCTTTATACACTCTTCCGACTTCTCCAACATCATCATCCAGCAAGCAGGACTAGATCATAAACTAGACTCAACAATTACTTGCCTTCGATAGGCCTTATGTTCTTTTCTGGTCAGTGATCAGCCATTGTCTATAGCGGCCCTTACACTCGTTCATTCCACGGCTACTTACCACTGCGACAACACAACACACATATTCCTTTCTCGAATCAAGGGCTCTTGAAGAACCCAAAAAGCAACTTCCAGACCATCTTCAACGGTCAAATCACAGATACTCTCAATGCTTGTTACACGGCAATGCGAAACAGGACGGAACACTTGGTCCTCTAATAAACTTGGGTCTGCTAACTTCGCGTCTCCACGGATGGCGAACTTTGAGGCTTTACCGCCGCAGCCGGACTGGCGAGAACAGTACTCTTCGTATCAACTCTCTGGAGAGAATGGCATGGTCCACCAAAATTACGAGCACTCTGCTGGCTCCAACACAAACACCAGTCAACAGCAACCAGCTACCAGACCAACTTTAGAACATCGACACACACTTGGCCCAATAAAACCGGAAGGTCCGCCAACTCCTACCATAGAACGACCAGACTCCGCTCCGGGAGATTGCGGCCAACCTTCTGTCAACAGAACTCGAGATGAATCTATGGTTTCGACAGAATCAGCACCTCTTTCACTTGGGCCGATCGCACCGAATTCAACATCATCTGCTTCAAGCGCACCACAACAAGGAGCAGGAGTACTCATGAATGAAGACGCGTCAGCTCTCTTGAGTCCCAAGGAAGAAGACGATGACGATATCGATGATGACGACGATATGTTAGATACTGAAGATGGAACTTCATCAACGCCGCAGACGGCGGCTGAGCGCAGAGCTGAACGCAGGAAGATGAAACGATTTCGGTATGTTTATTTTGGTTTACATATGTGTTGTAACATGAAGAACTAACTAGTACAGTCTCACTCATCAACAAACTCGATTTCTTATGAGTGAATTCGCGAAGCAAGCTCACCCAGATGCTGCTCATCGCGAGCGTTTATCACGAGAAATTCCAGGCCTTAGTCCAAGACAAGTGCAGGTATGGTTTCAGAACCGGTATGCAAAATTCAATCCAGTCCAAGTGGAGAATATAGACTAACGGAAGCAGACGTGCAAAGATCAAGAGACTTACTGCGGATGACCGAGAGCGAATGATGAAGATGAGAGCGGTACCAGATGATTTCGACAATGTACAGGCTTTACATTCTCCTTACGGAGCTGTACACGGTATTGGAACACCAATGCAATCGCCTGTCGATTTTGTGCCAAATTACGCGGATCATATGATACGACCTTTGATGGTAGACACCATGCGCAGACATGAACAAGAAGACCACATGTCGCCGGGGGGCATGAGCCCTGGATATGGACATGTTGGATATACTCCAGGAAGTTCCATTGGAACACCTGATGTCCTCTCACCATTGTCCATTAATTCGTCTGATCGATACTTCTCCAGCCATCTTTCGAGTCCGATGAGCTCAGGGCCAAGGAGCTCAAATCCATTTGATCGACCACCTCCGGGATATCAAGCTGTTTCCCATTCCCAGCAAAGACATCACGGCGGCCGACCATTACAACCATTACAGCTTCGAGAGACAATGTCAAGATCTCGATCAGAGTCACTTCAGTCGCCATTGAGATCCAGTATGTCTTGGAAAGGTGAAACTTTAGATTATGCCAATTATCCAACTGGGCAACCAAGTCCTCAATCATCTGGACGTCAACAATCAATGTACCAGCCCGAGCAGAATAACGCGGTCAATGCGCACCAATTTGAGTCAAACTCTTACCAAAGTTCGTTCCATCCTTGCAAAGAAAAAACTAGATGAAAGACTAACCATTTTGATAGGTTCCAACATTCAAAACTCACCACAAAACATGAGCTATTCACCATCGCATCCTCAATCATCTTTGCAACAATCATCACCAGCTGCCATGTCCCGTTTGCGAGCTTCCACCGGGGGTGCTTTCCCCCATGGTCTTGACCTACGCAATCAATACCGACCTCTCCCCCACCAAGGTCCATCACATCTGCCTCCTACTTCCCGCTCATTCGCACCCTCATACTCAGCAGGTTTTGCCAGCGCACCTTTAACGGCGCCAATGGAATTCTCCCTCCCTCGGACACCAAGCGACGTAAACCATCCACAATTAAGTGCGCCAATGGCACCGCCGCAAGATTTCGCAAACGCGTATAACGCATCAAGAGCTCCACAAAGTGAGCGAGAATTCAGCTCCCAAGGTCAAGAACAGCAGCATGCTCAAAGCCATGCACAGCCTGAACATCAACCACAAAGAAATAACAGCGACGGTTCATCGTATCTTCGACCCAACGAATTCCAAGCAAAAGATAACCGCAAAAGAAGTTTTACTATGCCTGGATCTTATGCCCCTTCTCATATGTCTTGAAGAAATTTGTCTGGCGCTCAATTTCAATCTTCGATATTTGTGTGCATACAAAAGTTTTTGCTTTCAGAGATCACGATTCGTTTTACAGGCATTGCAATTTGAAAAAAGAGCAGAGCATAGAATTCATCCTTCTCTCACATGAAGATACAAAACCACTTCACTCCGCCTTACCCATGACACTACCAAAATCCCTCAATCATCTCCAATTCCAACCTCAGACCAACCTTCAAATTCATTACAGCTTTCTTGCTATATACGTATGGATCTTTCAGATAATCATGCACACATATATTTATATATACTTTCTATACATACTTCTTACACTTTTGAAGTTTCTCCCAACGCTGGGACGGACAGGAATCCGACATCATTTCTACCTTTCAACCTTCGACCTACAGCTTTTATCTTTACCCCTTCTTCGTTGTATTTTCTAGGAGATACTATCCGGCATTGTTTTTATATCAAATTTTTTCTTCCAGATTTATCCATTCATCTGGCCATCTTTCTTCAGGAGTGTTTTCATAGGTTTAGGAATTTGGGATTGGGGATAAACTTCAAAGCAGTCTTTTTTCTTCTTCTTTTCTTTTTGAGATATTCGCTTCTTATCTGTGTATAAATGGTATGCAATTTTTTTGTTTGGAGCTTCTTCGGGGTTAGCTGGATCTTGCATTTGAACTTCTTGTTTATGTTTCTTGTTTTTTCTTCTTCTCATCTTTTTTTACCCATGGGGGTTGGTTTCATCTCAGGGATTTTCACTGAGTGAGGGAAAGAACTGAGAATTGATTGGGTTTGGTGCTTGGAGCTGGATAAAGGATCGAGAGGGAATGGGCGGTTGGAAAGCTTTCGAGGGAAAGGAAAAGGATAAGCCGAGGAGCGGGAAAATCACTTGTAGATATCTGAATCGTGGAGTGGCAATAACATTGTGTGGAAGTTGAACAACTTTGTCTTTTCTTGTCTGCTGTGATATGTGATGTGTGATCTCCAATCTGATGTGATACAATGTGACTTGATCCGAAGACTTTACTCTGAAAGCCTATTGAGGCATACTATATATAATATATAATATGCAATTTCCAGCCCATTTCCCGACTCTACGCATGAAATTTCCAAGCTAATTCCTAGGCCCTACAAGTATGAGCTACAGGCCCCAAGCCCTGAAGCAGATATGCAACAAAAGAGTCAACATAGAACATACTGAACGGGGATTGGCTGAGATACTAAAAAATTGAGTGAATGCTCAGAACGAAAGTGAGTCTCAACGGAGGGCCAACTGTGCATCTTCGCACACCTTCAGCCCTCAACAGACCTACAACAGGCCTGGGTTACAGAAAGATTTATACGCCTTTGGCGCCGAACAGATATGTGACAAATGGACTACGGTAGATTGTCTGTCGGCTAAAGTTGGCTAGACAACTTTGTTGTTTGGGTGAATATGGCATTGGCACCGGGGGTGAGTATAAGCGAAAATTCGATTTGAGAGCAAGAGTTTCATATTTAGATGGAACGAATATGAGAAATCAGCTGGCACATTATGATATATCTTGCGTCCATTTGTATTGGAAATTTCACTATCATTATTCAATACTGCAAAGAGCTTTGCCAAGTATGCGCATTACGTGCTGCGTAAAGCAGAGTCCTGATGTGGGTTTGGTGAAGAGGCACGAAATACCATCAATTAACTTCACTATCTTCTGTAGAAGTAGTGAAGAGAAGAATCAATATACCCAGAATCTTAGTCACTTGATCAGAACGCTCCAAATCCATGGTACGTGGACTTATACCTAGTCGTTGACATTATTTCTCATTTAATAATCATAAAACCTATCATCAGAATATCAGTACACTTCCATTCACGAAACGTAGATGAAAAAGAAAAACTCACCCCTTTCCACTTTTCTTTCCCAGCCATCCCGCATCTACCATTTTGCCCAGTAGTACACTGGGTCTATACTTGCTGTCTCCTGTCTCCTCATGTAATACTTTCATAATTGCTAAGCAGGTATCAATACCAATGAAGTCCGCCAATTGCAATGGTCCCATAGGAACATTGGTTCCATTCTTCATTATCGCATCGATATCATCTCTTTTACCAACACCAGTCTCCAAGCAAATTATGGCTTCATTGATATAAGGCATCAAAATCCTGTTTGCCAAAAATCCTGGGGAATCTGCTGAAGTAGATGGGATTTTGCCCATTCGTTTGCAGAACTCAATGGCTGCATCCAATGTTTCTTGGCTTGTCTGTAATCCAGTGATAATCTCTACGCCCTTCTGAATAGGAACTGGATTCATGAAATGGGTTGAAACTACTCGAGAGGAAGCGCTGGTGTCTTTGGGATCTTTAGTCGTTGATGCGGCAATTCGTGTGATGGATATGGAAGATGTGTTTGTAGCCAAGATGGCATGGGGAGGGCAGATTTGGGCTAGAGAGCTGAAGATTGAGAATTTCAAAGAGGGAATTTCAGGCACAGCTTCAATTACAAAGTCTGCCGAGGAAAGATCATCCATCTTTGTGGTTGGGATGAGTAGGGAGCGGATACTGTCAGATTGTTCTTGAGTTATGCGCTGTTTGGCTACATCTTTGGCCAGGAGTTTATCTGAATTTCAAATAAGAATCAGTTGGATACTCTTGAAACGAAGTTGTAAAGAAAAGTCTGCGAAGGAGGAAAGAGTAATTTAGAAAGCATACCAGCAAATGCGAGACCCTTGTCAAGAGAAGCTTTATTTGTATCGACGAGAGTGACTGGAACACCAGCTCTTTGTGCTGCTACTAATGCTATCCCCAGTCCCTATTCCTCATGAGAAATTGTTCATCAAAAAGTACAACGAAGGGTAATGTACCATTTGGCCGGCGCCGATAACACCAAGGCTTTTGACCTCTTGCGCCGAAAGCATTCGGCTTGAACTGAATGATCTTGCATGTTTTGAAGTCTGCAAAATTCCTCTTCTTACAATTGGAGATATCATGTTAGGCAACGATCTTAGAAACAACCTTAGAAAGAGAAAACAATCGAAAATCCTGGTGTTGTATTGACAAATGACAATAAAGTTTGAGAGTACTCGTAGAGAGAGAAGGTTATCATCGGTTGTTTCCCCAGGATTTATTAAGGTAGGTTACCGAGGCGGGCCGGTAAAGTTCCGCTGTTGCATGTGGCTTTGACAAGGGTACGCGTCGCGATCGCGAATTTTGGTAGGAGCGTGTACAGTGGTTTTTGGGTTGGATTGATCAAAGTCAAAATATCATAGTAGATTATTATGCTTAGATATTCATGATCACCACCCTTTACTACAACCAAACATGGAGTTCTCTGGTGGTAAAAGAGACGTTGTAGATCCTGAAGTCAGAGCTTATGTGAATAGTTTGGTTACAGCTGTAAGTTATCTTAATTATATTGTCTGAACAGATTCGAGAATTAAAACTGATTCTGACTATTGATAGCTGGGAGGAAGCGGCGCAGATGAAGAGGGACGGTATGTTCTAGGAGACGATGCATTAGCATGTTTACGAGATCTCAAAAAATGGTTAAAGCTCTATGACGAGAAAGCGAATCGATTAGACGTTGCAAGATGTCTCGCAGAATCCAATTTAGTGGGAGGGGATCTTCTACAAATCCTCGCAGCATGGCCCGAGAATGCTACGGACGATCGACTGAAGTCAAAGATAGCGCTGGCATGTATGGAATTGTTGGTACCATTAACTTGGCCATTGGAGAAGAACAAGGAAATGACAGTCAATCACCACCGACATGTCCCGTATTTAGAGATTGCGCAAGTGGGATACAAGAGGTCAATACTTGGGTTCGATGGAGCAAGAATATTACATACTGCGGTCAGATGCGCACTGCCTGCCATGGCAGTGGATATTGGAGATCGAAGTACAAGGGATGAGGGTATTATCAAATTGATTTTATACTTTCTAAGGAATATCGCTATGATTGCACCTCCACCGAATGGACAATATGAAGGCGATGAAACGGAAATCTCACGATCTGCGACAATTGATGCTTTCGACTACCAAGACATATTCCATCTTCTTTTGATGGTGTCTTCGACAATGGGGGCAGAATTCAATACCCAGGATGTTGTGGTCATGGACGTTATCTTCCATTTAGTTAAAGGAGTGGATGTTGAGAAGTTATTCTTCAGCGAGAAGGCCATGGATAATAGCAAAACAGATGAACTGGTTAGATTACGGAAGAAAGAACAAGCAATGCTTCGAAGCTATCAAACAAATGCTCCCACGAGGCATAATCGATTCGGAACTATGGCCTGGATGCAGCGGGATGATGCCAAAATGACGACAATCTCTGGCCAGGCCGCGCTAAGAACAGGAAGAGGAGGACTTGACAAAATGGATAGCACTAAGAAGTTTAAACCACCTAGGAGAGCAGTCAAGGGAGAAAGTGGGCCGCTAGTCTTCGACAATCCAGTTCCTCTCAATGCATCAGCGACGAAAAATTTACGGGCATTCGTTGAGGAATTCCTCGATTCTGGATTTAATCCCCTTTTCACACACCTCCGAAAAGCCATTGATAGAGAAGCTGAAAGAGTTCTTGAATATCATCAACGCCAATTCTTCTACTTGATTTCGTGGTTTCTTGAGGCGGAAAGAGTGAGGAGAAAGAACAAGAAGCCTTCCAAAGGTAAAGGTCCAGAAGACGTGGATAGTTTTGCCCTGGTTGCAAGTGTGCTCAATCAAGAGATGTTCATCACACTCAACAGGGCGATGGATCTCAATTTCGAGAATAAAAACTGGTATGACTTAAGTGCTGCCATGAAATGCTTCACACAAATTCTTCTCACCGTTCAAGAAATGGCGGATTCGCCTCTTGAGGCCGATCAGGAAATTGCGGAGAATATTCTGGCACGTATATTCTACGAAGATACAACTCATGAGCGAGTGGCTATGATAACCAGAACATATAAAGATCAGGGGTTCGGTTATCTGGATTCTTGTACAGAACTTACACATAATTATATGCGTATTCTGGAACAATACTCAAAGCAAAATGTTGATATGCAAGTAAGATCTAGGAGACGCACGCGGAGAAAGAAGAAGGCTGCGAAAGATGCAGGAGAAGACATAGGTGATGACAATATAGTTGATGAATCTGATGGTGAAGATGAGGCACGAGCACAGAAGGAATCCTCAGAGCGGAAGTTTGATTACAAACGTTTCGCTGCTAGATTTTTGTCTCAGGGATGTATCGATACATTTGTCTCTTTCACGAAGTATTATCTTGATCTAAAACCAGCGCAATTGAAGCGAGCCCATAGGTTCTTCTATCGGGTGTCCTTCAAACAGGACATGAGTGTTATGTTGTTTAGAGTGGATATTATTCATTTGTTTTATACTATGATCAAAGGTCCAGGAGGCTTAGATCCTCAATCCCCTTCTTACAAAGAATGGGAAGAAATCGTGAAGCAACTCTTGAAGAAATGCACTAGAAAAATTCAAGAACGTCCGGAGCTTGTGGTGGAAATGCTCTTTTCTAAAACCAATAGCACTGCGCATTTCTTGGAGTATGGCTATGAAAAACAGACGATATCTACAAAACCTAAAGCAGCAGCTGAGTTAGAAGTCAAGGGTGGATTGGAGTGGGAGGATCAAATCGGTGTTGCTGTTGGCGCTTTACTTGATAGAAATGAAGCTGATCATATCGAATGGGTAAAGTCACAATTATCATCTGCAGAAGATGAAAGGAGAAGTTG